TATATATATATATATATATATATATATATATATATATATATATATATATATATGTCTAGTGAATTAAGTTTTCTTAAGAGACGAAGAGGACGGAGGAAAGAGAAGGGCATGCTCTATGATCTATTTGCTGGTTTTCTGAAAGAATGCAGAATTTAATTCCAAAGAAAGGAACAGGTAGCATCCAGCATAAACCCAGGCATTTACTCATGTTTCTCAGTGATAGGAATGTACACTTCACATATCTTCATACACCTGCTTTTGAGCATACTTCAAATTACGCTTTATATTTATTATATAAATGTTTACTATGGAGCTATTCAATTAATGATAGTTCTGGCCAGGCTTAGAAACTGGAAAATAATATTATGAAAAGGCTGATGGCATTTGAAATAACTGTGTATTTATTTAAATGATGTACCACAAACATTTTTTTTTTTTTTTTTTTGGTGGAAGGCTTCAAACATACTTGGTGAAAATATGCTTTAAGAATAAGAACACTGTATGAATGAATGACATTAGTAAAATCTCATAAAAGAAAACTGTATCTGCCAGCTGGCTAGTTTTATGTCAACTGGACACATAGCCTAGAGTTATCTGAATGGAGGGAACCTCATCTGAGAATATGCCTCCATAAGACCTGGCTGTAAGGCATTTTCTTAACTAGTAATTGATGAGAAAAGTCCTAGCCCACTGTGGGTGGTTGTATTCCTGGGTTGGTGGTCCTGGGTTCTATAAGAAAACAGGTTGAGCAAACCAGGTGGAGCAAGCCAGTGAATAGCATACTCCATTGCTTGTGCATCAGCTCTTGCCTCCAGGATCCTGCCCTGTTTGATTTCCAGCCCTAACTTCTTTCAAGGATAGAGAATGGCTCTAAATTGTTAAGCTGAATAAACCCTTTCCTCCCCAAAAGGCTTGTTGGTTATGGTGTTTCATCACAGTAAGAGGAGACTTAAATAAGACAATCTATTTCTTTAAATACTACAACTAAGATGATAAACTCACGTGACAACACATGCTGGAGAGAATGTGGAGAAAGTGGAACCCTCCTCCACTACGGGTGAGAATGTAAAGTTGTACAACCACTTTGGATATCAATTTTGTACTTTCTCAGAAAATTAGGAATAGTGCTTCCTCAGATCCAGTTATATCACTCCTAGGAAAATATATCCAAAAGATGCTCAAGTATACAAGAACATTTGCTGTTCGTAGTAGCTTTATTCATAATAGCCAGAACCTGAAAACAACCCAGATTGTCCCTCAACAAAGGAATGGATACAGAAATTGTGGTACATTTACACAATGGAATACTACTCAGCAATTAAAAACAAGGAAATCATGAAATTTGCAGGCAAATGGTGGGAACTAGAAATGTTCATCCTGAGTGAGGTATCCCAAAAGCAGAAAGACACACATGATATATACTCACTTATAAGTGGATATTAGACATATAATATAGAATAAACATACTAAAATCTGTACACTTAAAGAAGCTAAGCAAGAAGGAGGACCCTGGGTAAGATGCTCAATCTTCATTCAGAGAGGCAAATGAGATGGACATCAGAAGAGGGAGAAAACAGGGAACAGGACAGGAGTCTACCACACAGAGACTCTGAAAGGCTCTACCCTGCAGGGTATCAAAGCAGATGCTGAGATGCATAGAGCCAAACTTTGGACAGAATGCAGGGAATCTTACGAAAGAAGGCATAGATGGAAAGACCTGGAGGGGACAGGAGCCCCACAAGGAGAGCAACAGAACCAAACAATCTGGGCATAGGGGTCTTTTCTCAGACTGATACTCAAACCAAGGACTATGCATGGAGATAATGTAGAATCCCTGCAAAGATGCAGCCCATGGCAGCTCAGTGTCCAAATGGGTTCCCCAGTAATGGGAGCAGGGACTTTCTCTGACATGAACTCAATTTTTTGCTCTTTGATCACTTCCCCCTGAGGGGGGAAGAATCCTTGATGGACCACAGAGGAAGACCCTAAAGCTAGTCCTGATGAGACCTGATAGACTAGTGTCAGAGTGAATGGGAAGAAGACCTCCCCTATTAGTATACTTGGGGAGGGGCATGGGAGGAGAAGAGGAAGGGAGGGTGAGTTTGGGAGGGTTCAAGTGAGGGGGCAACAGTTGAGATATAAAGTGAATAAACAGTAATTAATAAAAAAATAAATTTAAAAAATAAGTAAATAAAATGAAAACATAAAAAATACTACAATTAATAGATTATTTGAATCGTAATTGTTCAAAGTAAATATTTACTTGTAGCCAGGAGTAGTGCCACAAGCCTGGAATCCTAGCACTCAGTGAGGCAGAGGCAGGCAGATATCTGTGAGTTTGAGGTCTACAAATTGAAACTACAACAGTCAAGGGCTGCACAGAGAAATCCTATCTTGAAACAAAACAACAAAAGATGAAAAATATATACTTGTAAAGATGAATTTTTAACAAATTAAATGACATACAATATTCCTCCAGAATTAGTTGAAGAACTATTTCATATGGGCTTCAACTCATAAGCATTTAGTCATAAAACATAAACAAAGTTTGAGTGCTAATAACAAACTTTAGTTAGTACATTTTTATTCATTGTGCATTTTTTGTTTTCTAAGATCCAGGAAGCTCGCAATTTGCCGTTTTAATAAGTTCTGTATAAATGCATTTAATATTCAAAATCTGACTTGTCAGTCCTAATTAAAGTAAACAAAGTCTTGCAATGAATGAATTTAATTACTTCAAAACTAGTATGTCTAACTAAGATGAAAAGCAAATGAGTACAGTTTAATCTTGGCAAAGAATATTTATGATTATAAGCTTTGTCAATAGCAAAGTGCACCAACTGTTCATATATCTGACTTCCAAGAGACACATGAATGCTAATCAGTTCATTAGAGGCTTCTAGGTTGTGATATTTAGCGACAGGATATAGTAGCTATCCTGTCCATGGAGTGTAATTTTGCTCAGAATGAAAAACTGTTTCCAGCAAAGCCTCATCCTTCCTGGTTCTGATTTCATGCTGGCTGCGTTTTATGAGCTGCACACCTTTCAGGAAGCTGACATCACTCAGTACTTTGTCATATGAATACAGGCAGGGTATGTCTTGAGACTGGCTGCTGAGCAGGATTTTCCTCCGACCTCAGGAACTCATGCTAGTTTGAGAAACCCAAACTTCCTAATTAGCTACTCATGGTGTATGACCAAAAGCTACATGGGATCAAAAAAATTTTTAGATGCTATTTATAGCTATAAAAAACAAAATGCATCAAGTTCAGTTAACAATACTTATGGATTAAAAAACAAAACAAAACAAAACAAAAAAACCCACAGTCACATAACATTCGTGTTAACATGATAAAATAACTGAGAAACAAATCCAAAAATAACTACACAAATATAACTACAATACATTTATCTTAAAATGTATAATTTTTCAGTTGAAACAACAGTGAAAATCAATACTCTGACAGATATCTACTTAATCTTTACTCTTAAAAGAAAGGAAGGAGAAATCCTTAACAAGTCTACAGAAACAACCTCTTTAAAAGCAGCTGGGTAGAAGATATGATTCAAGAGGAAACAAACACATTATCCTTAACTGACTGCTACTTAGTGCATTTTTATGATATTTCCTGACATAGACAGAGAAGCAAGACAAAATTGAACTAATTCACAATTAAGCTGAAAGCAAATGCAATAAAGTCAATGACAAACCAAATAATAATCTTCTGATTCACTAAATCTCAAAGGAGAAGTAGAAAGAGGATGTCAATTAATTTCAAGTACATCAGTAGAAAATATTAGGAAAGTCTATTTATAAGTTCTTCTTTAAAAACTGGGTTGTCCTTTCATATAGAATTCAGATATCCATATGGGATTTTAATAATGCATTATAACAATACTTCATTATGATAGAAAAGATAGCCATTGCTGATTTCATACGGTGGTCTGCATGGCAACTCAACATTACTTCAGGAAAAAAGTTAGTTCATTACTTCAATTACTAATTAGAGACTAAGCTACAAAGTCACTGATAACCAAGATAAGTGAATATAAAGCAAGCTGTAAATCAAATGAGAAATAAGCTTCATGCTATTAATTAGCATACACTCTTTTCAATCTCATTTTGAATTAGGAGGAAACACACACAAGCTCCTTTTTTAGTTTGGAATGGGCAAGTGTTTCTAAAGGAAACATTACATTGTATGTAACCAGTTAATTTCTAATGTATATCAGCCCTTGAACTGATCAGTCATGCTGAGATTTTATAGTCTATATCTGATTCCTGAAATAGTTCAAAAGTAGCTAAATCACATTTCATGAAATTAGATTCAAACTTCCTCAAATTAAGTTTTAACATTCTTTATCAGACGAAATAAGGCTAACAGAAGGAACAAGATGAAAAAAACATTCTATTATTCAAAAAGACAAGAAGAAAATAGAAGTTCTCGGTGTGTATTTATGATAAAATACACCTTGGTTAATTTACCTGAAAGATAAAAGTTAAATCCTTGATAATTTGGCACTATATAATGAACCTTAGCTATACAAGCACACTTAAAACATTAAAAAATTATAAATCCAGTTGACTACTGACTTATTTAGATATCAAAGGATATGGACATCTTTATCACAAACTTGTCATGCAAGTCCTCAGGAGGGGGAAAGGTTTCCAAATCCTTCTCAAGCTGTTGAAGCTGCCTTCCCATCTGCTTCAAATTTCTTTCCAGCATTTCTACCGAGACTAGAAGAGAGCATATTAAATGCCTTGAAAGGACAAAATTATAATATAGAAAAGGTAAAACAATCTAGCAACAAAACATTTGTTAAAACCTCATAGTAAGAAAATTCACCCTAAAACATTTAATTTCATCAACTTTAATTTTTAGCCTTTTGATTTTTAATTCCAGATAAAGGTAATCAAACAAGATAGTCTTTATAAAAATTGGGAAATAGAAGAAGATTCTAAGTGATCCAACTGCACAAAAAAATAATTAAGGACATGTTCACTAGAAAAATCTAGTCACATGTGAAGAAGTTCATTATTTAATATATTGAACTCAAATATAATTGTTACATTTTCCAAGATATCTGAGAGAACTGGGGAACAGTTGGAAAAGTTGTAGGAAAAGTTTTTCTTTTGGTCAAACTAATCTCTCATAGGCAAGAAAAGGTAGAAGAGGACATTTAAGATGTCAAAGTCTTTCTATAACCATACCTGAGCACTACCTATATTTATTATCCAATCACTGACAGGTTCCATCTTTGAATAGTCTGCTCTCACAGTATACATGAACACCACATAGTAACCAAGAAAACTGGGGCATCTACAGCATGAATTGGCCTTGCAGCCAACAGTGAGCATTAAGATTTAATTCTCGTTCTAGCTAGGACTTCTAGTACTATGTTGAAGAGATAAAGAGAAAGGGAAGCCTTGCCTTGTCACTGATTTCAGTGGGAATGATTTAAGTTTCTCTTCATTTAATTTGATATTAGCTATAGGCTTGCTGTATATTGCCTTTACTATGTTTAGGTGTGTGCACTGTATCTCTGAGTTCTTCAAAATGTAAAACATGAGGGCATGCTGGATTTCATCAAATGCTTTTTTAGCATCTAAGGAGATTATGTGGTTTTTTTTTTTTCCCTTTCAGTTTATTTATATGTTGGGTTACATTGATAGATTTCCATATATTGTACCACCCTTGCATGCCTGGGATGAAGCCTACTTGGTTTTGGTGGATGATACCTTTTATGTGTTCTTGGATTCAGTTAGTGAGTATTTTTACATGATTGTTCATAAGACAGACTGGTCTGTTTTATTCTCTTTCTTTCATGGGTCTTTCTGTAGTTTAAGTATCAAGGTAACTCTGGCCTTATAGACTGAGTTTGGTAGAGATATTTCTATTTTGTGAAATAGTTTGAAGAATATTGGAATTAGCTCTTCTTTGAAGGTTGGGTAGAATTCTGCACTGAAACCATCTGAGCCTTATTCTTAGGAGATAAAGGAATATTTAATTTATTTACCTGGTCTTGTTTCAACTTTGGTGAGAGTAATCTATCAAAAAAAAATTGTTCATTTCATTTAGAATTTCAAATTTTGTGGCATATAGGCTTTTGAAATAGTACCTAATGATTCCTTGGATTTCCTCAGTATCTGTCCTTATGTCTCACTTTTTAATTCTGATTTTGTTGATATGGATAGTGTCCCTTTGCCTTTTAGTTATTTGGATTAGGGTTTGTCTATCTTGCTGATTTTTCTGAAAGAACCAGCACTTGGTTTCTTTCATTAGTCAAGGTGTTCCCTTTGTTTCTAATATTGACTTCAGTTCTGAGAATGATTATTTCCAGCTGTCTACTCACTTTGGGTGTGGCTACTTTATTTTTCTTTTTCTAGTGCTTTCAGGTATGCCATTAAATTGCTTGTATGAGATGTCTCAAATTTCATTATGAAGGCACTTAGTGCTATGAACTTTCCTCTTAGCACTGCTTTCATTATGTCCCATAAGTTTGGTTAAGCTGCACCTTCATTTTTCATTGAATTCTAGAAACCTATAATTTTTTTCTTTATTTTTTCCCTGAGCCAGCAGTCTTTGAGTAGAGAGTTGTTCTGTTTCCATGACAGTGTATGCTTTTTGCTTTTTCTGTTATTATTGAGGTCTAGTTTTAGACTATGGTAGTCTGATATGATACAAGGGATTATGTCAGTCTTCTTGTATGTGTTGAGGTTTGCTTTGTGCATCACTATATGGTCAGTTTTGGAGAAGGTTCTGTGAGGTACTGAGAAAAAGGTGTTGTACTCTTTTGTGTTTCGGTGAAAAGTACTATAGAAATCTATTAAGTCCACTTGGTTTCAATAATACAACTAAAGGAGACAAAGGGGATACAAATCGGAAAAGAAGTCAAAGTATCACTGTTAGCAGATGATATGATAGTATATATGAGTGACCTTAGAAGTCCTACCAGAGAACTCCTACAGCTGATAAATACTTTCAGCAAAGTGGCTGGATACAAAATTAACTCAAAAAACAAAGCAACTCATGGATTGATAGGATTAATATTGTGAAAATAGCCACCCTGCCAAAAGCAATCTACAGATGCAATGCAATTCCCATTAAAATACCAACTCAGTTCTTTATAGACTTTGAAAGAAAGATTCTCAGCTTCATATGGAGAAACAAAAATCCCAGAATCTCCAAAGTGATCATGTATAATAACAGATCATCTGGAGGTATCTCCATCCGTGATCTCAAGTTGTACTACAGAGCAATAGTAATAAAAATTGCATAGTATTGGCATAAAAACAGAAAGGAGGATCAATGGAACTGAAGACCCAGAAATAAACCCACACACCTATGAATACTTGATTTTTGACAAAGCAGCCAAAACAATTCAATGGAAAAAAGACAGCATCTTCAACAAATGGTGCTGGTCCAACTGGATGTCTACATGCAGAAAAATGAAAATAGAACCATATTTATCATCCTGCCCAAAACTAACGTCCAAGTGGATCAAAGACCTCAATACAAAATCAGATACTCCAAATCGGTTAGAAGAAAAAGTGGGGAATACCCTAGAACTCATTGGCACAGGAGACAACTTCCTGAACAGAGCACCAACAGCACAGACTCTAAGAGCAACAATCAATAAATGGGACCTCATGAAACTGAAAAGCTTCTGTAAAGCAAAAGACAGTATTTTCAGAACAAAACGACAGCCTAAAGACTGGGAAAGGATCTTCACCAACCCTGTATCTGACAGAGGGCTGATATCCAGCATATATAAAGAACTAAAGAAGTTAAACAACAACAAATCAAGTAATCCAATAAAAAATGGGGTATGGAGCTAAATAGAGAATTCTCTGTAGAGGAATATAGAATGGCAGAGAAACATTAAAGAGATGCTCAACATCCTTAGACATCAGGGAGATGCAAATCAAAACGACCCTTACACCCATCAGAATGGCTAAGATGAGTAACTCAAGTGACAACACATGCTGGAGAGGTTGTGGAGAAAGGAGAACCCTCCTCCATTGCTGGTGGGAATGTAAACTGATAAAATCACTTTGGAAGTCAATCTGGTACTTTCTCAGACAACTAGGAATAGTGCTTCCTCAAGATACAGCTATACCACTTCTAGGCATATATCCAAAATTTGCTCAAGTACACAACAAGGACATTTGATCCACCATGTTTGTAGCAGCTTTATTTGTAATAGCCAGAACCCGGAAGCAACCCAGATGCTCAATGGAGGAATGGATATAGAAATCGTGGTACTTTTACACAATGGAATACTACTCAGAAATCAAAAACGAGGAAATCATGAAATTTGCAGGCAAATGGTGGGATCTAGAAAAGATCATTCTGAGTGAGGTATCTCAGAAGGAGAAAGACACCCATGGTATATACTCACTCATATAGTCCTATAAGATATGATAAACATAGTGAAATATATACACCTAAATAAGATAAACAAGAAAGAGGACCCGGGGTAAGATGATCAATCCTCACTTAGAAAGACAAATGGGAGGTGCACTGGACATAGGAGAAAACAAGTAACAGGACAGGAGCCTACCACAGAGAGCTCCTGAAAGACTCTACCTAGCAGTGTATTAATGCAGACACTAAGACTCATAACCAGACCTGCGCCAGAGTACAAGGAACCATATGAAAGAAGGGGGAGTTTGTATGACGTAGAAAGAATAGCAGCTCCACAAGGACCAAATATATCTGGGCACAGGCGTCTTTTCTGAGACTGACACTCCACCAAGGACCATGTATGGATATAACCTAGAACCTCTGCTCCGATGTAGCCTGTGCTAGCTCAGTAACCAATTGGTTTCCCATAGTGAGGTAAACAGGGACTATTTCTGACAGGAACTCAATGGCAGGCTCTTTGACCTCCCCACCCCTCAAGGGAGGAACAGTCCTGCTAGGCCACAGAGGAGGACTTTGCAGCCAGTCCTGGAGATACCTGATAAAACAGGGTCAGATAAAAGGGGAGGAAGTCCTTCCCAATCAGTGGACTTGGAAAGGGGCAGGGAGGATATGAGGCAGGGAGGGAAGGTTTGGGAGGGAATGAGGGAGCGGGATACAGCTGGGATACAGAGTTAATAAAATGTAACTAATAAAAAAATAAAAACAAAACAAACAAACAAACAAAAAAAACAAAGCAAAAAGAAAAAACAAACCAGTAGCTCTTCTATATACAAAAGACAAAAGGGGTGAGAAAGAATTTAGGATTCACAATAGCAACAAATAACATAAAGTACCTTGGTGTTAACTCAAACCAAGCAAGGTGAAAGGCTTGTATAAAAAAAAAAAAAAAAAACAGAACCAAAAACAAAACAACAAACAACAACTTCAAAAGGAAAGAAATTGAAGAAGATATCAGAAGATGGTAAGATCCCCCATGCTCAAGGTTAGTAGGATTAACATAGTAAAAATGGTCATCCTACCAAACACAATTTACAGATTCAATGCAATTCCTATCAAAATACCAACACAATTCTTTTCTAACCTTGAAAAATAATTCTCAACTTCATTAGGAAAATAAAAAAATTCCAGAGAAGCTAAAACCAACCTAAACAATAAAAGAACTTCTGGAGGTATCTCCATCCCTGATCTCAAGTTGTACTATAGAGCAACAGTAATAAAAACTGCATGGAACTGGCATAGAAACAGACTGGAGGACCAATGGAATGGAACGGCAGACCCAGAAGTAAGCCCATACACCTATGAATACCTT